GGTGAGGGTGGGGCTGTAAGAACACAGCAGGACAACACAAGTAGGTGGTGATCAAAGGTCCCAGAAGCCACAAAGTTTGAATTCTGGTGTGTTCTGTTCCTATAAAGTCCTGTGTGGTCCCCTTCCAAAGCCCAGCTGATCACCAAGACCTGGGACTAGAATACTAATCACAGGGTCCCCCTTGAGAGACACTCTGTGTACAAGTTATCTAACATCACCCTGACTTGGGGTCCCCTGCAAGGCTACAACCGAGGTTTCAAGGGGAGGCTCTCCGCCCAGCCTCACCTCTGATGCTGCAGCTAGACCTCAGTTCCTTACTGACTTTAGGTTAGAGTCCTCCCTCAGCTCCCTGCTCCGGGAGCCTCTGCAGTTCACAGCTTACAGCATGGAAAGGGGCTTTCATCAGAGAAAGCATGACACAGTAAGAGGGGAGGAATATTCATAGCCTAATCCTGAAAGGACAGCCCACCATGTTTGCTGCGTTTCTTTTGTTAACAGCAGGTTATCATTTGTACATCTGTGCACAATAGTCAGAAGGTGGGAGTGGCCCAAGCGTTTACTGATAGAGAAACCAAATGTGGTACGTCAATAAAAAGGAACAATATTCGGTCTTTAAAAGGAAGGAAACTGCCAGCCTGGTCTACAAGAGCTAGTTCCAGGACAGCCTCCAAAGCCACAGAGAAACCCTGTCTGGAAAAACCCAAAAAATTTTTTTAAATAAATAAATAAAATAAAAGGAAGGAAACTACCATTCATGCTATAAAATAGATGAACCTTGATGACATGCTAAATGAACTAAGCACTCACAAAGAAAACAAATGTTTTACTTCTACAAGTACCTAAAACTAGCAAGTTAATCAAGGCAGAAAGAGGGAAGTGGTTATCAGGTTATGGGGTGGCGTAGAGACATTTTTTTTCTTTGTTTCTTAAATAAGTTCAGAGTTTCAAGATATAAAAGTCCTAGCAATTGGTTGCATAATGGAAAAGTAATTTCTGCCATTGGACTTTAAAAGTTAAAGTACCTTTCAAAAGTTAAGATAGTCAATTTTAAGCAGAGAGAGAGAGAGAGAGAGAGAGAGAGTGAGAGAGAGAGAGACAGAGAGACAGAGAGACAGAGAGACAGAGAGAGCAAGCCAAACAAGCCAGATCATTTAAAAAAGAGTGGGATTACACACAGGCATGAGTGTCAAGAAGTACCAGCATCAGACACCAATGCCACATTCATGTCACATTCGGTAGCATTTTCAAGGTCATCATATGCATTGCAGCTGCTGCTACATCTATGATACACAGGATCCCAGTATAGGACACCTTCTGAATGTATCTTATACATGCTGCAAATTAATGCCCTGATAAAAGCTAACCCCACCACATAGTCTCTAACACATCTTGCACAGTGTGCTGCAATACATTCTCATAGTTTCCCTGGCTCTCAGATCTTCACAGACTGTGTTGACATTTTCAGAGAGGATCCATAGTGGACAGAGGCTTAATTCAGCCTGCTCAGATTAGGAGAAAAGCATTTTGAACAACTCATGTCCTTACCTTGAAGTCAGTGTTATTCACTTTTTCCAAACAAGCATTGTAAAGTGTCTCTTTTCCCACGTTAGCTGAAAGGACAGGGTTTTTCAAAGGCTAAGAAGCCCAAGGGGTGAGTGAGCTCATTCATGTACAGAGTCCATGCGCCGAGTGCCCAGTGCAGTGGCACCACTGACAATCTATCCCATGAGGTATGAGTGCACATTCTCTCCAGTGAAGAAGCCTTTGAGATGTTTTGGGAAGACACTGCAGAGACCCTTCTCTCAAAGGCCCACCACAGGCAAATTTTTCTCACAGGACTGGCATCTGTCATGCAACAAGGTTAGAAAGCAGTTCACATTTAGACGCTACCAAGTGAACTCTTGAGTACTGCACTCTCATTTGATGCAGGGAGAAACAGACAGCTGAGGAGGGGTGCAGACACACCAGCTGGCCAATGGGACTCACATCCAAGACTTACATCATACACCTACTTTGGGGCACACTTCCTTAGAGGGAATGACAGAAACTTCCCTAGTCAACACGTGACAACCATACTTCTTGTTACCTTAATAAACTGTGGGTACTTTTACTCCCATACTGAAACAAAGACAGATTGTGATACCACAGAGTGCAAGTTAAGCACAGATAACCACAACAGAGATTTCTTTCCACCACTTGTCAACACGTAGGACCCCATTATGGGTAAGGCACTGGGCCACTAGTTCAGACCTTTGAGATCTGAGAGGCAAAGGGATACACCTTCCACTCCTTGGTGTGAAGGAAAGATTCCCAGCACAATGGTTACCTCACATGTAAGTGTTACTCATCCCCTGAGGTCATTTAGATAGTCACAGCTCTCCTACAATGTCCCTTAAGAGTTAGGCTGCATGGTGTATTTGTCTGTCACCAAACCCTTTTCCTTTCCAGTTTTTTTGGGGGGTAGGGGTGGGGGTTGCTTCAACATGGTTCAAAGTCTTTAATTGGTACCGAGTGATTTCACACAGGGCCTGGGGGAGGCAGGGTGTCTCAGTTACTTTTCCATTTGCTGTGATAAAAGGCTCTAACCAAAGCTATTTAAGAGACAAAGGTCGTTTTGGCTCACAGTCCCAGAGGGGCAGAATCCGTCATGGTGGACTGACAATCAAAATAGTCCAAACAGCACTAATGTCCAGAGGCTAAAGGCACCGCCAACTAGTTCTAAAATCAGTGTGTCTGTGAGAGTGAAATAGAGAAAAAAGAAGCAGAATTTAAACGCTCTGACTTCAGTTAGACTGCAGAGGGGTTACCAGCCATCCCTCCAAGGCATAAACAACAAGCCAGTCAGCAAAATGGCACTGGAAACTGGAGAATGGATGCTGCCAACATGACCACACAGAAGGATGAGGAACAACAGCCCAAACAAATCAGTGTCCCTCTTTCAAAGCTTAGATCTGAGTCCTTGTCATGAGACACTCAGGCACAACTGAGGTCAAGATCCACAAGAACACCAGATACTAGGCAAGAAACAGTCTTCACAGGAAAGTATCCTCCATATCTCCATATCTCTTCAACTCTGTGATTGCCATCCCCGTGGCATCTAACACTGGCTCTACCCCAACAGACGCTTTCCTTTATAAAAATTTGACTTTGTGAACATTTCCTAGGTAAATGGGGCTCAAACCCTCTCTGAGGTTAGAGCTAGGTCAGAGCAGTTTCCCTCAGACTCGGGCATTAGAACTACCCGTGTGGTACTAAAACACAACCTGGTTCAGTCGTTCTGCAGTGGGGTTCCAGCACTTGCATCCCAAGAGAGTCCCCACGTGCGGCAGCGGCTGCTGCAGCTGGATGCACACCTATTCTTATTGTAGCGCCAATAAAGAAGTAAGTTTTCCACAAAAAAAAAAAAAGCCTTCCAATTCTACCAGCACTCACCCCACTGAGCCCTTCCTTCCTGCAGACTCTGGAAAAGCCTGCTCTGGCACACATTTTACCTTTTCTATGGCCCTCACTCACACAGACTTTAGAGGTCACAATTCCCGCTTAGTCCACATCCCACTGGCGATGTATGGTCCATTTGCTCATTCATTCGTGCATTTGTAATGACATAATAAGCAGCAACCAAAATAAAAGCTAGGATCTTGAAAATAACCTATATTTGTCCTCCAGAAACTTCCCCCCACCTATCTCCAACTCCAAACATATTACAACCAGTTTTATTAAATCTACAAACATGACCATTCAGTAGAACATTGAAAAACAAATGAGTTCTACCAACAAGAAACAATATGGGTGAATTGTAGTCATATAATACTTTAACGGGAGGAAGTAGAGATGGCATACAAAGAAAACCAATTTGTAACATTAAAAACACATGTCCTACAGAATGTCTTAAAATAGATACACATTTAAAAGGCTTTATACTTTGTTGTAATCACTGAATAAACACATGTTGGGAGCTAGGGATGTATTTCAGTTGACAGGATATTTGTTTAGCATGTGTGAAGCCCAGGGTTTCATCCACAGCTCTAAACACACACACACACATAGAGTGGCCCAGAATTGGGGACATGAGGCAGTAGGATCAGAAGTTCAAGGTCATTCTCGGGTATGCAGTAAGTTTTGAGGACAGCCTTGGTATGAGAGAGAAAGAGAGACAGACAGACAGACAGACAGACAGACACAGACAGAGACAGAGAGACAGACAGAGAGAATGAGCACTCAAGGGAAGACAAAGGAGGGAGAAGGAAGGAGGGGGGAGGGGAGGGGAGGACATGGTCACTGAACAAGGTCCTGTGACTCTTGACAAGGAGGAGGGACCTTATCCTTCAGTGTCCTTCCTCTCTTCCATCCTCCAGCTGCAGCCTTCAGTTTCCACAAAATAACTCCCAAATCAACAGCTTTTATACGCACAGGCAATTCACACAAGAGGGAGCCAAGTTGTAAACAAATGCGAGGGGGCCAGGGTGTCAGTGCGCCTCATAATCAGACTCACTAATGGCAGTTTTTGGGGAGGCTATCATTTCATGACTACTAAGTTAACAAAAATGACAAGAAAAAAAGCAAAACCCAGAGCTGCCCCCGAGAATGTGACTGAGGGTAAACTGACAGGCACAGCCGTGAGACCAGGGAGAAAATTTCAGCCAGCTGTGTGGAGAAACACAGGCATCTTCTGCAGAATTTATCCTGAGGAGGGAAATCAATGGAGGGAAATGACTCACATGACTCTCAACAACACTACAGCTTGGAAAACCACAGCATAGGCACCTAGTACAACCAAAGATGACCACAGGAGAAACGTGTTTACCACAAAGGATACCAAAGTCAAAATGGTACGCATTATGCTATCAAGACTACGCAACAGCCATGATCAAAGCAAGTACAAATCACCACAGCCCACAGCTGCTATTAGGCGGAAGACATGGGTGCTGTCTCTTCCTTCCCACACCTGACTTTTGTGTCCAGATTGTTGTTTTTTGGTTTTTTGGTAGAGCAGCACCTACCTAGAGAACTCTCGCAGCTCTCCTCATCGCTGTTGTCCTGGCAGTTATTCTGCCCATCACAGATGAAGCTCTTGTCTATGCACAGGCCATTCCTGCAGTGGTAGCGGGCGGTGGAGCAGAGCAGGGGGTTCGCTGCTGTGGGGAGAAAACAGAGTGGGTCATCAGGGAGACCACCTTATCCCAGGAGACTTCTCTAGTCAGAGAAGCAGCAGGGTCAAGCTGTAGGGTTAGAGTAGCCCATCCCAGAGATTGGTCAGCCCATGATCTGAACAAGATAAGTTTTATTCTGTTCCCTTCTCCAGGTTACTGTTATGGTGTCCTGTGACCCTAACACAGCCAGCAGTCAGGGCCTTCTCTAAACAATCAACCTTATGTTGAGTCTGAGGCAGAGCTTAGAGCTCAGGGACTTATACAGTCCACAGGGGGTGGCTGATGGCTGATGTCATAGGAGAACAGCAGCATCAGAAGCAGCTGTCAACCTGGAGACTTTCTGCCTTTAAAAGAAGGGACCAGCTGATTAGATTCATGAGCTATGAACAGTTCTTACATCTCCCTCTTCTAGTTTTTTTTAAATGGTGTGTGTGTGTGTGTGTGTGTGTTGTGTGTATGTCCTTGTTATGTGTGTGTGTGCTTCTATGTATGTACATGTGGGGCTGGTGTATGTGGATGGAGTCCGGAGGTCAATAGCAGGCGTCTTCCTTACTCCATCTCCACCTTATTTTTGAGGCAGGGTCTCTGTAGATCAGACCCCTCATTCTTCTGGGCTGACTAGCATAGCAATGGCCTTCATTTCTTCCAGAATTTATCCAGGGATTCTCTCTTGAGGAGCACCTCCATGGGACAACTGTTCAAGGACCTTAAAAGAAATCACCATGCTGGGTTCTGTGAACTAGTGAACAGCATGGAAGCAATCTCCTGAGGAATATAGTTATTTCTACAGTACAGTTTGTCTTGCTTCCCCATCCCAGGCAGGAAAATGGAGACAAAGCCCCATTTCCAAGCAGTGAAGTTGCCATGTGTGGTGGCTCACACCTTCAATTCTAGTAGTTCAGGGGCAAAGGCAGGTGAATCTCTGTGAGTTCAAGGCAAGCAGGTCTGTATAATGAGACCTTATCTAAACACAAACCAACAAACAGTAACTAAACCCAACCCTTGGTTTCTTTATCTGTAGCCAGGATCAGCTCCATAATCTTTTTTTTCTTTTTATTAATATTTTTTTTATTTTCCATTTTAAATTTAGATAAGAAACAAGGTTGCTTCACAAGTCAGTACGAGGTCCCTCTCCCTTTCCCTCCCCTCCTCCCGTGCCCTCCCCCATCCCCCCCCCCGTTATCCCCTCATTCCCCCAGGGAGGGTGAGGCCCTCCATGGGGGTCAGCTCCATAATCTTATGAGATCCAGTGAAAGCTTAAATATGTAGCCAAATGCTCTAAAATTATTAAAAACATGCAAAGACAAGCACAGAGCATGAAACCAGGTATGGTGTTCTTCTGGGCTAAACAGCAGCATTGTAAGACTGTGGCAGTAGCAGAACCATGATGTTAATCCCCTGTCCCCATTCATTTCAGCATCAGATGAGACTGACAAGAAAATGTCCACATCTGATATGACGCAGAGAGTGCTGGGATTAAAAGTGTGAGCCACAACAACAGCTAACAGAGACATTCCTACTGACCCACTTCACTGACTGAAAACAGGCCCCTGGGCTGAGCCTTGTCCTCATTTTCCTACAAGGGACAAGGAAATGAGGCAGACTGCTTTAGATGCACTGATCTCCGTGAGGTTGCTGATGTGTGTTTACTAGCTGTGTTCACTGATCTCCGTGAGGTTGCTGATGTGTGGTCACTAGCTGTGTCACGCAGCTATGTCTGTCCTAGACCCCCAGAGTATGTGGTCCAGAGAAGTAAGGTCATTGGTGATGATGAAGAGGGTTGTCATGGACCTTTAGGAAGGGACTGAGACTGTACCTAGACTGGGTGTGGCAAGAACAGGACTAGAATGCACACCAGGCCTGGCCCTGAGGCACCTCATAGTCTCAACCAAGTCATGCCCAGTGCCTCTCCATGGTCCTGGATTGGAGGATGTGAGTTGGAAATCTGTCTACTCCATTTCTCCCAAGCTTTGTTGACAGACTCAGACATCATAGATGTGTGGACTTGGTCAACCTCCATGCTTATAAAAACCCTGAAGGAAGATATGTTGTTTTTCCTTTTCATTCAATGTGGAAATTTAATTTGAAAGGTTGGAGGAACTAGAGGGATGGGGTAAGTTACAGCTCTGCCCAGGATAAGGGACCGATGCAGAGTCAAACAGCAGTCATCCGGCCTGATGATGGAAGAGTTAATTATTGAAATCACAGTGGGTCAGAGAATGGCTCAAGTTAATCAAGCTGGAACCAACGTCTGACTGCAGCCAAAACCCAAATGGAGAAATCCAAAACCACAAATCACATTTGGTTTTTGGCCATGGCAAATCTTCAAACCCAGCCTTCTGCTCATCACCATCTCAGCACAGTGGCCTTCAGCTTCCCTGCACCCTGGTGGGTCATGTCTATGCAGTCCAAACATCAATGCCAATCAACTTACTCTAACAGCCTGGAAGAGCCGGCTGACTGGTCCAGGAGGGGCAGGGCAAGCTCACATCAACCTCCGCGTGGAGACACTGCCAGGGTGTCACCTCTTACTTTACATTTGGTCTCAGAGGCTTTTGAACTTTCCCAAGGAAAATGAGTCTTGGTCTTGGGTGTGACTGTCTCTCTGTGTGTGCAGGCACAGTATAGATCTGCATATTCTTGTAAGTGTGTGTTTGAAAAAGAAGACATAGGTTGATTTTAATGAGTATAGCCAACAGGACTATCAGCCAGAATAGATAAAGAACTAACTTTGACAACCAAAAGGCAAAAGTCAGCAAGGCAGAAAAGCAGGCAAAGGCTACAGAAAGCATTTCCCATAAACGGGTCTGCTAAATGGCCAGTAAAACCTTGCCAATGACGTGCAATGAAGCATCAGACTGGCCCCACTTGAGGTCCTAAGGCATTAAGTTGTTGATGAAGCTGTGGAGGGAGAGGCTGTCTCCCCGACTCTGAAGGGGAAGTGGTTCATGAGCCCACCTTGGTTTATTAATATCTAGTAATTCCTCATTCTGCTCAAAAGAGACCTTAAAACAAATTAAAAATGTATGCTGAAGCCACTATCAGAAAAAAAAATAGAACTGCCCCAAATGGTTCCTAATAAAACATCAGATAGAGACATAACAATGTAACAGTCTACAGCCTGAATCAAGGTTTCCTGTAAAAGGCCACTTACAGTTACATATTGAGGTTTTGTTAGCCATTTGATTTTTATCTATGTTACAATGACTTAAATTGGCTATAGTACTGATAATTCATAAACATAGGACACAGCTGTCTTCTAATAAAGCTTTATTTACAAAAACAAATAGTGGGCCATAGAAAGTCAATAGCTTTTATACAGCATGGAAAAGTAAATGAACTGGAGTGAGGATAGACATATATCATAAGTAGAATAGCAAATGAGAAAAGCAAGGAACTGCAGAGTGTGTACAGTGTACATGCAAAAGAACCCCACTTACTATTAAGGGATAAAAATATGCAGATGATTAAAAACATATATAGCAATTAATATCACCAAGTTCAGGGCAGTGGAAGCCTCTGGAGAGAAGAGTGAAGGGTAGGAGCCCAGAGGGTCCCACCAGAGACCCCCTAATTATATTTGGCAGCATTGTTTTAAAAATCTGAAGCAAAGAAGGAAGTGAAGAATGATTTTGAGACAGAGTATTAGGAACACAGAGTTTACTTTATTTTACATCTCTTTTCAGGTTGTCTAAAAGATTTCCCTGGGGGTTCCCATGACAGTCTGGTCAGTGGAGTGCAATGCTTGCCTTGCCCTGTAAACTTGAAGATCTGGGTTCAGATCCGCAATACAACACATGTCTGTAACTCCATTACAGGGGAGGGCAGAGACACGTGGGTCCTGGGGCTCACTGCCAGCTGGTCTAGGAATCAGGGAGCTCCAGGCTCATTGAAAGACCTGTCTTAAAACCAAAACAAATGGTAGATGACACCTGGGGAGGAGGAACACCACCATCGTCTGGTGGCTTCCACATGTCCACATGCAGGTGATCACATGTACATACACACAAGTAAAAAAATTATAAACGACAACTAAAAATTCTTAATCTAGTCTGGCAGGAATACTTTTGGCCAGCATCTCCTTTTTGGGGGGTTGTCCTGCATAAAACTAGACCACAATACACAGTTGTTCCTGGTCCACAGACAACCTGCCACCCTAGGAGTCCTCCTATCCCAGGACTGACTCTTCCTTATGTTTGTTTACTGCTGCTCTAGGAGCCACAGAAACCCTAGCTCTTGAGCCCACCTCTTGCAGGGCAGCGAAACAGAGGCAATGAAACAAAGGATAGAGAAACGACACACCCGAAGCCAGCAGCAAGCTGGCCAAAACACACACGGCTACTTGAGTGCCTAGAAAATTCCAGAAGCCTGAGAGGGACTCTCAAGCTTCCACCTGCTCTGATGTCTTCTGTGTCTCCATTTATACAGGCCGCGACAAGCCCTGCCTTCCAGCTCCCAAGGACAGAGCAAAAGAGATGGAGCAAGCTGGAGGCTATTTGACACCCTGCAGACACACTAACCACAACTGAGAAAGCCAACAAATACAAGAGGGGACAGAAAAGAAAACAACAACAATGAAAACAAAACAAAGAAACAAAAGCTACTCCAAGAATTCCAGAGGGACTAAAATAGTTTGAAAAGAGACTAGAAAGTTACAAACGTAGAAGCCAAAGGCAATTCCCATTGCACAGTCCAGTCTCTAAACAAACAAACAAACAAAAAAGTTCTTTAGAATGACCCTGAGCTGCTATCAAAAAGGGTAAATGTTGATAAAGCTAAGAGAACATGCTATCAGTGATGGTACCCAGGCCATCAATGAGCAGTCTCTAAGCAGACTTGCTCACCAGGGAAGCGGGTCTTCCCCAAAGTTCCAGGAAAGTCTAGTTCCCTTCAGTGTCCTTGAGGACTCTGCAGCATTACCGTGCTTGGTGCACATACCAAACTGCTAGCTTACAGACAGATCGAGAGACAGCGTGTTCTATAGA